AAGTCCCCTTGCCTTTTGTGTCCCCAGAGGGCCTGTCTGTGCTCTCGGGGGTGATTTCCAAGCCCCAGTGAGCTGTGCCGAGTTCCTGGCAGAGTGATTCTCAGGGCAGGGGGGATATAGCAGGGACCTAGGTCCTGACAACTTGCCCTAGGTCCAGGCCACCCCAGTGGGGGCCCCTGCAGAGCCAGGACTGTATGTTTCTTGCTGAAGTTTATGAGAGGTCATGTCTTTCTGGAAGAAGGCAAGGGGAGGGAGTTGGGGCAGAACAGCCTTTGTTCTGCTAAAAATGCCTTCTGTCTTTGGCCCTGCCTCACTGGGAGCATAAACAATGTCAGGAGGGGCCCTTCCAGGAAGTGGCTCCTCACTGCTGCCCACTGTCCACTGACTGGCCTGTCTTCCCTTATCTACTGCCTCTTCCTCCTTGCCTAGTGGGCCATCTACTCCTCTGTCCTGCAGCAGGCAAGGCCAAGGCCCAACCCTGGCCTGGGCTGGGCTAGAGTCCCTAGGAATTTTCTCCAAAATTCCTGCCTGGAGATCTTTCCTCCTAAGAGCAGGCTGTGGCTTCATTGCACAGGGGACACACGTGTGGGGGTTTGACAGAAGGGGCAAGCCAGGTGGAAGAGCCTTACCTCTCCCAATAAGGTTGTTTGTAGGCAAGTCCTGCCCCTACCCTGTGCCTCAGTGTCACCAGCTGTCAAGGCAGTCAACACTGTTCCCTGCCCCCCAGTGCTCTGGAAAGAGCTGCATGGCACTGGTGGTCAGGGAGCCCCACAAATTCAGTCTCTTTCCCTCTTTCCTTGTCCTCTGCCAGCACATCTCCAAGCTTCCTCTTTCTTGGTTCTTCCACGAGAATTCCAGAAGGTGAAGACACCTAATGCTACCCCTCCAACCCTGGGATAGACAGCTCACCTGCTACCCAGGTGTCCTTCCTGTCTCTGGAAACTTCCTCTTAGGATGAAGTCCGCAGATCTTGGTCCTGGCTTCTGCATCATCTGCAAAGCCTCAGCTCCCCCTGTGCCGCCAAGGGAGTGGGACTGAAAGAGTCGATGTGGCCAGGCCCTGCGGTGTGCCAGGACTCTGAGCTGAGATCGTCACATGCCTACAGCCTCCCATGCACTCGGGAGGCAGGCTCTCCATCATCATCCAGTTTCCAGATGAGGAAACCGAGGCACAGAGATGTTGAGTGACTTGCAGAATATCCTCCCAACATAGTCACATGTGGAGCCAGCTTGTGACATTGGCATCCGGCCCTGGAGTCCAGGATCTGAGACACATCCAGAGTGATGGGGTGTCAGTGCAGGGTCCTCCCAGGGCCTGGCCTGATGGTCATGGGAGCAGCAGGCCAAGGATGCCTGGGCCTGCGCGAGGCCAAGGGCCCTCTACCTGCCTACTGGAAGAGGTGCTTATCTAAGTCAGAAGTGAGGCCTGCTTCTCCCTTGGTCCACACTCTGCACCCCATTATCTGTGTGTGGTTTCTTTCCCATTCATTTCTGAAGCAAAAACTCCGCGGGGCTAAAATTTGATGGAGTCTCTCTCTCTAATCCTGCCCCAGTCTTCATGCTTTGCTCTGCTGAGTGTCCTAGGTGACCTGACCTCTCTCCTCTGGTACCTTAACTCTTTCCCTTCGCCCTGACTGTGTGAGGCCAGGTGCCAGGTCCTGTCGGCTCTGTGAGTCAGGAGGCCCACAGAACAGATTCCTGCAGAAGCAGGCCTGTCTGGGGACATGCCCCGAATTCCCATCTTCATCAAGGAGTCTCAGACACCCCTGTTCCCTTGTCCCCCTTAATATATAAGTGCTTCTAGGAGCAGAGAGGAGAGCCAGCCGACAAGGTGTCTTACTGCAGAATGGCAGGAGAAGGGAGGCTGCAAAAACTGGAGTTCTCAGAGCTGTGGGTACCAGGCCCCAGTGGAGAAGGTGGCCCTGGGAAGCTCAGAAGGACACCCACTGACCTGAGAGCTACAGAGATCAAGGTGCCACCAGAGACCCAGGTTAACCCCTCTACCACAAACCCAGCAGCCTGACTGCAGACTGAGCCTTCTCCCCAGGGTAGCCCAGCTGCCACGAGGTCCAGAGAGGATCCCAGAGGCAGAAGGCAGAGGACCCAAATCAGGGCAGTGTTGCTGTCACTTTCTAAGTTTAGATTTACATACTCAGCACATATATCCCTCTTCAGTATTTTGTGTGAAATCCTAGTAGGCCATCACAAGTGGTACCGTGGCTCCTGAAATTAAAAAAAAAAAAAAATATATATATATATATAAATTTCAAAAACATGATTTCCAGAGGAAGAAGTTATTATTTTATATACCACTGTTGTTCTATATTAATACACAATAATCACGGTGCTAATGCTTCCGTTTTACCTTCAGCCTACCTGGCACTGTTCTTAGAGTCTGTAGTATCTCATTCAATCCTCAGAAAAGTCTTTGGTGATCGTCACAATGCTTATCCTTATTAAGTAACTTTCCCAGGATCACAGAGCTTGGGTTTGGATCCAGTCTGTGCTCTTAACCACAACGCACTATTTAGAATTTGAGCAACTACTCAGGGAAACTACTATGGACACAGGTCAACTTGTGGCCCAGGGCTTCTTAAACTTAATGGCAAGGCAATTCTCTGGGGCTCTTGTCAAAATGTGGGTTCTGATTCCATGGATCTGAGGGGGCGGGGCTTGAGAGTCTTCATTTCTAACAGACTATGAAGGGATGCTGTTGCTACCCTCTGGGGACCACGCTTGTTCACAGTGCAGAGCCTATGTTGAAACCTGTCCTAAACTCAGAGCCTTCAAGGGCCAAGCAGGCAAGATAAATAGAGGTTGCCGCTGGTGAAAGGGAACACGGAGGATGCACCTGAGCCATCCAATGGTCATCCACTCCTCGGCCCTCATCCAGCAAGAGTTCTAGACCAGTGTGGTCTTGTTTCTATGCGAAATCTCCTATTTCTAAACAGGGGGTAACCAAGCCAACTTTGTAAAATACTGCAGTGCAGAATCGAGTGTTCAGAGCAGTTTTATTTATAATAGCCCCAAATCAGAGACAGTCCAAATGTCTATCATCTGATGAGTGGGTAAATGAAACAGCATCGTTGTACAGTGGAACAGGAATTGGCACCAAGGAATGAAGTATTGACGTGTACTTTAACACAGAGGCACCTTTAAACAGTAAGCGAGAGGAGTCAGAGACACAGGGACAAATATTGTATGTTTCCACTCAGATGAAATATCTAAAATAGGGAAATCCAGGAGATACGGCTGGGTGTGTGGGGAGAAGGGGATTGGATAGAGAGTAACCATCAGTGGATTCAGGCCTACTTTGGGGGATTTGACAAAAGTGTTCTAAAATTAGATTGTGGTGAAGGTTGTACAACTCTGTGAATATACTAAAAAGCAGCAAATTGTCCACTTTAAATGGGTGAAATGTAGGAAATGTGAATCCCATTTCAATAGAGCCATTTTTAAAAACATGTAGAAGAGAACTGGCTTCTTTAGTATGTAAAGTGCAGTTACAAATCAGCAAACCCCAGCAGGAAAAAAACACAGAGAATATGAACAAACAGTTCACAAAGGAAAATTTTTCTGCTTCTTTTTTCTCTTTCTAATTAGTTTCTTTTAGTTATACATAACATTCGGGTAAGTTTTAACATGATTATACAAGCATGGAATATGATTCGCTCTAATTTGGTCCCCTATACTTCCCCTTTCCCTCCCCCCTGTTACTTCTCTCTACTACTGATTTTTCTGCTATATATTTATAGGTTTTTTAAATTAGTGCCTTGTGGATGCGCATAAAGGTGAGATTCACTGTGGTATATTCATATGCATCATAGGGAAGTTACATCAGGCTCAATCCCCCGTTATTCCCATTTTTGTCTGATAGTTCTTAAATACATTTTAAAAATCCCTCTTGCTCATAATAAAAGATGTACTAGTCAAGGCAACTCTGAGAAGATTTTCTACCTTTGAGATCATCAATACCATAGTCCCCCCAGACTTCCCCTTACCAAGGGAGATACGTTTCAGGGCCTCAGTGGATTCCACGGACAGCACCAGATCCTATAATTTAATGTCTTTTCCATCTTAACTAAGCAAATTTAGGGCACTCTGACCCGAACTTTTGTAATTTGAGTTGTGACAGCAAAACTAGCATGAGTTCCTTTCTTTCTTTCTTTCTTTGTTTTTTTTCACAGTTCAATGGTCAGAGGATCTGTTCTTACCAAAGATCTTAGCAACCTCAGCCTACTTCTTTTTTTTCTTTTCTTATTGAGAACTTCCATCTTTTCATTTAAAGGAAGTACTTTTTGGCTTTTCTTTGACATATCTGAATTGCTGGTTTCACTACTCTTGCACTTTGGGACCATTACTAGGTAAAATAAGGGTTTCCTGAACAGTCACTTTCATACCCTCAGCAGTCAGCCAGATAACCAAGATGGCTACTAAGTGATAAATGGTAGGTAGCATATACAGCATGGATACACTGGACAAAGGAATGATTCATGTCTAGGGTAGGACAGAGGGATATTTCATCATGCCACTCAGAACAATGTGCAATTTAACACTTATTTGTTTCTGGAATTTTCCATTTAATATTGACCATAAGTAACTGAAAGCGAGGAAAGCAAAATGACATTAAAGAGGAGATACTATGATTAAGATTGTTAATGGGATGGGGTGTAGCTCAGTGGTAGAGTAAGCACTCGCTTAGCATGCAGTAGATGCTGCGTTCAATCCTCAGCCCCAGAAAAAAAAAGTAACTCCTGGCCTTCCCTTAGTACTCTACTCCTCCACACCCTGTCCTCTGTTCTCCGCTGTGTGCATGGAGTTGTCTCCCAGGCTTGCGATTCCTGGTGCTCTGGAGGTGACCTTGCAATCTCTGGATTGGGGACAAAAGGTGTCTGCACACACAGACACAGAATATGCAGGCTGAAGCAGAGGCCATGGGACCCTGTGGGGATTTGTGGACCCATGGATCCTAATCCCCTGTGTTTGCTTCTTGTCCTCTAGGCACGCCCCAAAGGCGAGGGTCTGACACCATACCAGGGCAAAAAGCGCTGCTTTGGCGAGTACAAGTGTCCCAAGTGCAAAAGAAAATGGATGAGCGGAAACTCCTGGGCCAACATGGGACAGGAGTGCATCAAGTGCCACATCAACGTGTACCCGCACAAGCAGGTGAGCCAGCTGCCTGATGGGCGGGGCGAGGCGGCCGGCCCACAGAGGGTGGGGCATGCTCTGAAGGACAATGGAGGGGGACTCTTCCATTATTGGTCCTCCTTTTGGTACTTGTACAGTGAGGATGAGGCCAGATCGTCCATTCTTCCCTTGTTTCACCAGAAATGGGGTGAAGGGGGAGGGACGGCTGCTTCCCCAGGACAGGAATATGATAAAGGGGCAACTTCAGCAAGATCCTGAGAGCTGAGGCCCCAGGTGAATTTTAAAACTAATGAATGGGAGTAATGAATGGGGGTGCTGCCCTGAGCCGAACCGTCAGGGGGCCAGCAGGGTGCTGCAGCAGGAGGGTCCCCTCCTCTACTCATCCAGTGCACACGTGTGAATGGGGTGGGAAGGGGTTGAGGGGCCCTACTAAGGCAGACCTCAAAGAGATAGCTACTCAGAGGAGGTGTTCTGTACCTGGGGATCAAAAGGAGGGGGAGTTAGGCCTGTCATAAGTGGGGGGTGCATCCTAGGAAGAGCTCTGTAGGAGCAAATGCTTGAGGCTCTAAGGACTTGGGGTGCTCAAAACCTACATCTGGGTGAAGGAGCAGATGGAGAGGAACAGGGTGGGAGCTAAATGGGAAGGTCATCAGAGTCTGGGGCGGATACGTAAAGGACCCCAAGAACAACAGGACTTTCGCCTTCATTTTAAGACGATTAACCCAGGGGGTGTGCAGAGATTGGTCTAGGAAGGGTCCCCCAGGTGGGAGATGGTACTTCTGAGTTGAAATCACCAATATGTTTGGGAACAGTGCCTCCGCCCCCTCCCCAGGCCAGATGGGCCTCGATTTCCATCCCAGTTCTGTCACCGAGGACCTGGGTGTGCTGTGTTTGCTGACTCCCAGGTACCCTCTAAGACTTTCTATCTGTTCCTTCTCAGACACCCCATGGGGTAGGACTTGTTTCCCCATTTCACAGAGGGGGAAACTGAGGCATGGGGGAGTAAGTGACTTACCCAGGATCAGGAGAAAAGCTGGGATTCATGAAGAGGGAACAAGTCAGGGGACTTGGCAAGGTAGATGGGACCTGGGTGTAGTAAGGGAAGCAGGGAGAGCAGACCACCCTGGCTGGCTGGGGATGGGAGATGGGATCAAGCCAGGCCCAGCTTATCAGGTGTGCAGCAGGTGGGACCTGGCTCCCAGCATTGGCTCTGTCTCCTCAGTCGCTGCCCTGTATCCTGCTGGCCTCTGCCCTTCCCACCATCCCTGGGCCTGCCCATCACCTCCATCTTGCCCGCACAGCCAAGCACAGCCTGAGTGACCACCCCACCTCCATCTCCATCCACGGGATTGGAGCCTTCAAGAGCCCAGTCTGGAAGGATCTCTCCAGGGCCTGGGCCTCCCCCTGCCCTCTCTCAGTCACTCAGCCAGTGTTTGTGGAGCACCTACTGTGTGCGTGGGAAGACTGAGATCCGGAGAGGAGATGGGCCTTGAGCAGGGCACCCAGACAGCATGGAGGGTCCTGGACCCAGTTCTGTCTCCCTGGTCTACTCTCCTGGGCCTTTGTGCTTCTCTCTCAGTATGTCACAAGCCGGGAGGAGGCTCTGGGATAGCACCCCTCCATTGTCCTTCAGAGCCTTTGGTGAGCTGAGGACAGGGCAGAGCTCCTCCCTCTGCCCCCAGTGGAGGGTTGTGGTGGATTTCTCCCACCCCGCCCCCGCCCTGACCATGCCACAGTCCCTGAGAACCCTGCGCCACCCGCCCCAGCCACATCTGTTTCCTGTCAGGCTCCAGCTGTGGCTGCCCCTGCAGACCCTGCCCCCCCAGAAGAAGAAAACACTAATGGGCCTGCCTCCCGCAGGGGTGGGGCGACTGCACAGGTCAGTCCCAGCTGCTGCATGTTTTCCCCTCCCTCGAAGGGAGTCATCCTGACGGCTTCCGGAGCGCCCACTGGCAAGCAGGCCAGGGCTGGGCAGCCAGGCCAGGGCCCACGCAGGGAAGCAGCACCAGCAGGTCATGGCCAAGGAAGGAGGAGCACAGGTCCGATGAGCTGAGGGCTGGGGCTGGCCAGGGACTCTCCCGTTCCCCTGCCCCCAGCCTGCCCCTAATCCTACATAATACTAATGATAATACATGGTATTAGTACTGGCCAACATTTCAAATGCTCTCCATATACAGGCACCATTCTAATCACTTTACATACCTTATGTACCCCTCACAACAACCCTATCAAAAGTAGATGTTCTTATGCCCTGTTTTATGGAAGAGAGGATTGAGGCACAGAGAGGTTAAAGTAACTTTCTTATGGCCACACAGCAATTACTAAGTTTCGCAGAGCTCTTTATGGGTATCACTGCATCCAAGGGTCCCTCCCCACACACTAGCCTGCAGTTTCTGGCCCCTCTCCTTGGTGTGTGGCCCCAGCTGGCCCTGACTAGCTTCCTCTGAGTCCACTCAAGGGACCCTTCTGCAGGGTCTGGGCAGGGGCTACCCTGGAGGAAAAGCAACATCTCTGTGAATGAGCCAAGAAGCTGTCTGCTGGGGTGCTGCTAGGGGCCTCCAGGATGTTTCCAGGGAGACAAGCCTCTGCTGGCTCTTGGGGGCCGGGGGGAGGGAACAAGGGAACAGGGGAGCTCCCAGACTATCACAAATGTGCTTAACGCTGCCCAGTTTACCAACAGCCGGAGGTCTCCGGGACCCTCCCCAGACCCATGGGTAATGCTGTGGGTAGCCCACTTTACAGATGAAGAAACTGAGGCTCCCTGCAGTCTTCAAGTCACCTCCCTTCTCTGGGCCTCAGTTTCCCTGTTAAAAACAGTGCAGGTCCACAGTCATGTCATGAACAGGGCTGGCTCTGGGCTGTGGGGTGAGTCCAAGCCCCAGATGCTGTCTTCATACAGCTAAGGCTCACTGAGCTGAGCCAGAAGCTGTGGTTGTGTTCAGATGAATCTCTCCTTGACTCCTAAGGCCACTTGAGCAGGTGTGGGAGTGGCTCGTGGCCAAGGAAGACATGCTGGATGCTGGGATTCAAGAGATGTGGGTGGGGTGTCCCTCGCTCTGGACATGGTTTCCTCATCTGGATATGTCTGTGTACCCCTCTTGTGCCTTGATCCTGGACTTGTGTGAGCTTCAGGTGGTGGCACTGGTGGGAGATCAAAGTGGCATATATACCCAGGGGTCCAGGTATGAGACACCCCCTGCCCTGCATGCTCCAGCCCCAGCCCAGCCACAGAACCCTGCAGACAGGCAAGAGGTGGGCAGGAAGGTCGTGAGCACCTGGGCTGGACTGCCTGTGTGACTACAGGCGCTCTCTCTCCCCCACCCCTCTTCCTCCCTCCCCCCCACCTCCCCCACCCCCATCCCGGTGTGTATCTCTGTATGTGTCTGTCTGTTTCTGTGAATGTGTGTCTCTACTCTTGGTCTGAGCCTCTCCCTGTGTATCTCTGTCTCTGTCTCTGTCACTCTATCTGTACCTGTCCGTCCATCTCTCTGCGTCTTTTCCCCTGTCTCTGGGCCTCTCTCTGCATCTGTCTCACTCTCCCTGTGTGTCTCTGTATTTCTCTCTCTCTGCACCCTTCTGGGGCCCTTTCCTCCCGCTCTCTGCAGAGACCCCTGGAGAAGCCCGATGGCCTGGACGTGTCTGACCAGAGCAAGGAGCACCCACAGCACCTCTGTGAGAAGTGCAAGGTCCTGGGCTACTACTGTCGCCGCGTACAGTGAGCCACCTGCAGCGCCCCCTGCCGGCCACGCTGCCTCCCCTGCGCTGCTCCCAGGGGCTGCATGTCCCCTGGCCAGGGGGCTCTTGGGGTCTTTGTCTTGTGTGTGTTGACAAACAGTGTTACTGACATTGCTGCCCCAACAGGCTGTGGGAGGAAGGGGCCCGGGGCTCTTCACAGCCTGGGGGTCTGTGGAGGCCTAGGTCCCATAGAGTCCTTGGTGTTCCCCTGGCTCTTCTCTTCTGAGAGTCCCTTTGGAGTGAGCAGCCTTGTATTGGCCACAAGTGCACTAAATTTACTGTGAATCCCAAAGCCTGCAGGGGACTACTTCCCCAAGACCATCCAGGCCAGCTTCTCTCACCTAGAACCTTTCGATTTGCCCTGTATGAAAAGCCACTTTGGAAAGCCCTATCAGTCAGTCCTAGGTAGCAACCACGGGGGGCAGATGCTTCCTCCGCAGCTGCTGGGGAGCGGGCCTCTGTGCCCTGCCCACACCGAGCCCCAAACTTTGACCGTCTCTGATGTCACTGCATCACACCCAGGAGATGCACCCGGGGGACCCAGAGGGCAGAGGCAGGACAGGGATGGCTCTGAATGATGCTCCAAGGTATGTCCTGGGGCATGTGGGGAAGCACCCCAGTGACCCCCAGCAGCACTGCCCACCAACTGGGTGCTGTGAGCCCTGTTCCCTTTCCTTCCTCTTTCCTCCCACCCACACCAGGTGCTGCAATCCCACCAGGCTGCCAGATGTAGCACAGAAAATACTCTGACAGGAAGGACACAGGCCTAGCATTCTGGAGATGTACCGTGTCACCTGGGGCAAGGACTTCTCATCTCCAGCCTCAGTTTCCCCACGAGTTAAGCAAGAGAGTGACACTACAAAGCCTAGAAGTCCCCCAGCTCTGATGTTCAAGAAGTAGGCTGGCCCCAGGCCATCCCACAGAACAGAGAGCTTTTTTTGGAAGGAGTCCCCTGGATGGTGGGCGACACCTCCAGGAGCCCTGTACTCCATACCACTGCCCCTCACTGTGTCGCCTGGGGAGTCACATTCTCCCCTGCTGCCCCTGCAACTCCGCTTTGACTGTTGTCTCCTCCCTGCAACCCCCCCCCATCCTCCTAACCCAGGTCTCCCCAGCCCTCACTGGGGCAACCCTGAGACAAGCCACAGAACCTCTCATTTGGAAAAAGGGGACAATGATTGCCTACCTCCCAAGGGATCAGAGAGGCCTCTTGGCACATCACATGGTCAGGGAGACCACCGTTCTGGCAGGCAGGAGGGCGCCTCCTCTCTCCCCAGTGAGAAGCCCCATTCCTATTGTCCTCTCCGCCCCCCCCCCCCCACAGGGGGGAGGGAGAGAACTGGCTGCCAGGACTGGGTCGCTTGATTTTGCCCCAACATTTTGCCTCTGTGGGAAAAAAAAAAAAAATCAGACCATGAAATGGGCCTGAAATTCAGTGTTTACCACGACTCGAGGACACCCATCCGGTGCCCAGTCGCCTTTTGTTTTCAAATGAAAATGCTTTGTGCAACTGAAGAGTTACAGTGAAGTGTTAACCAAGGGTCCAGGGAGCAAGTGGACGAGATGGAGAGTATCTGCAGCCCGCTGGCTGCAGGGAAGATTTGGGGGCCATATCCTCTGAGCACTTAAGAGCCGTCTTTGAGCTCCCTCCCTGCTGATTGTAGGGGTGGGGGATGGACTGAGCACCCAGCCACCTCTAGGGATTGTCTCTGAGGCTGCCCCAGCCCAGCTGCCTTGTTTGGGTGACCTGGGTGGCCTTGGCCCAAAGCTTTTGTCCCCAAGGAAAAGCTGTTGCTGTCAGTCATCCTACTGGGCCTCCAAAGAGAAACTTTGCCTTGGTGGCAGTATGCTAACCTCCACTGTGAGGACATGCCAGACATGGGGACCGTTGGCCCAAGGATGCCTGGGGCCTGCCAACTGGGCTGCAAAGGTAGGGAAGCCCACACCCTTAAAAGAACCGGGATTCCAGAGCACAGGAGGCCAGAGCCAGCAAGAGATGGCCTCTCACCCCATAGTGGCCTTTTTGGCGGCCATTGTCCTGACATCTGTGCAGCAGGGGCTGGGCTATCCCTCCTGGGTGGCCCTTGGAGGCTCTTCGAGGTCAGCAGGACACACTGCTGTCTGGGCCAGTGCTGTGAGAATTAAGTGCTCAGTGGACCTGGGAGCCCAGGAGACAAGAAAGTGTTGTGGTTTTAGTATGTTCAAAAGGGACAACCGCTTGCAGTCAGTAGATCTAGCGATCTAGTTGGGAGATAATGGTGTTTACCCCCCATGAAGTATTTGATAGCTCTACTTGTGAATTTGTATTTATTTTGCATTATACTTGACACAGAATTCCTTTTTTTAAAAAACAAAAATACTATGTGTGTATTTTGGAAAAAAAAAAAACTCATAGATGTTAAAATTTCTGCACAGTTACCAGTTTTTCTCACAACACTGAATTTGGTAGCTTTTCCCGAAAAATCTTCACAGTGATTTTTGTCTGTATATATTTGAGGGCCTTTTTTTAAAAAAAAAGAAAAAAGAAAAATATGTTTGCCTGATTTTTTTGAGACAAAAAAAAAAAAAAAAAGAGAGAGAGAGAGGCATTTTCAAAATTTCAGAGCTTTCAGGAGGGCAATAGAATATCAAAGAAAGATTTCTGGAAGTATTTTGCAAACCTTCTGGTTGAGCAGCAAGAAAATATTTATGGTGAGAAGTTTTCTTTTTTCTTTTTCCTGTTATGGTTTTGGATTTTTTTTTTTTTACTATGCTTTTGTCCTGTAAAAAGTATGCAACTGAACTACATTAAGAAGGAAATATTGTCTACATAGAATATTATATGAAGTTGGTACATAATTCTGATGAGAAAAAAAAATCTTTGCAATTCTCTAAGCCATGTTATTGTTATTCTGTTATTGTTTTCCATGGATGAAAATATCAGTATTAACTAGCCAGCATATTATTCAAATGTTTAGACTTATTAATATGTTCTTGTCCTGTATTTATACGTATGTGTATTTTGGAAAGTATTCCCTTTTTTAAGGGGAGCTATTATTAGATACATATCGAAAAAGGGAACCGTGACCCCTTTGTTATCCTCTTCCGCTGAGGATAACAAGCACAGCGTTGTAATCTCTCTTCCCACACCTCCTTGCTAGGAGCTTGTCATTACAGTTTGATTAATTTCATGGGCAGCGCGGGGAATGGACAGGGGAAGAGGGAAGCATTTGATGACCTAGCCCCTCCAGGGTCTGCCACCCCTTGGCCGGGTCAGCAGTGCCCAAGGAGGGAAGAGGAAAAAGCAAGCAAGAGTCCCCAAGGCCCCTCTCTGGAGCTTTCTCATCTGAGCCGGGTCTCGCCCCAAGCTCTTTGAACTTGGAAATGTCAACGGAGCCATTACGCCTGCCCTCCAGCATCTAATCAACTTGAATCTACTCTAAACAAATATTTAATCCAGCCTCACTACATTCTAGCCCAGTGCAACAACTAACCCTGAATTGTGGGGTGTTCCAGCCTCCAAAGAGGTGGCTGAGCTCCCCGACCCTGGGGCTGGGAGGCTGGTGGCAGTGGGGATCTTTGCTCTCATGGCCAAACTCACTGTTGGACCTCCTCCACCCCCCAGATGGTGACCCTGTCCGTGTCTGTGTCTGTTCATGTGTGTGTATGTGTGTGTCCAGCTAAGAAGACAAACAGAACCCGTGGGCCTGGCTCGAGGGCGCGAGGGCCAGCCCCCCGCTTCCCCCGGGGCCGCCCGCGGGGTGGCATTCCGTTGTGTGCCTTACTCCTGGAGACTGTACGGCTTGCCTAAGGAAATGTAGCCTTCCGCGCTGTATTAAAAGGATTTTGGAAAGCAAAGAGGCTGGGGGTTTCCTTGTTTACACAGAGCACAGGGAGGAAGCTGGACGACACAGCCCAGCCAGAGGGACTTGGGGCCGCCCTCCAACTTGTGCTTGCCCTGCCTCCACGCCACTGACCTGCCTCCACCCAACCCCTCTGCCACCAAGTGGACGCTCTCCAGGGTGAGGCTCTCCCCAAGTCAGGCCCCAGAGTGGGAGAGATTGTCAGCAGATTAGGTCACACGTTAGCTCAGCCACGGGACTCCCGGGTAACCATATATAGGAGCGAATCTGCCACGGGCATGGCAGCCCTGGGCCCCACTGCGGCTGCTCACACTTGATCCTCTCGTCTGAGATGGGAGTTTGAGCCCCCCAACACTGGGCATCACACCCTGAACCAATGAAGTGTCCAGGGGAGAGGGAACAGTGAGTTCCTCCAGGAGCGAGGCCAGCACTGGGCAGGACTCACACAAGTGGGGCCCTGGTAGAGTGTCCCAGACGGGAGCCACAGAGGAGCAGGACCATCAGAAGCCAGGTGTCTGTCTGCAAAGCCCTCTCACCCAGGATCAGTGCTCTTGTCCTTCCCAACCTTGCCACTCACCAGAGTAACCTGTGTGTGTGGGGGGGGGGGGGGTCGCCTATGGGGGGACTTTAAACATGCCAATGCTCTGGCCCCATCACAGAGATGCTGAGAAATCTGCCTGGGCTGTTCTCAGGTTCACAAGACCCTCCAGATTAGCACACTGGGCCTCCAAGGCTGAGCCACACTGGATTTGTGGCAGTCCCTCGAGGTTGCATGGGGCTGATGGTGGTGTCATCAAGGAGGCCCATGGGCATGGGGTTCCAGCCCCCAGACCAGCTAATTTTGGCAATCTAAGAATAGTGCTACCCGTTGGGAGGGAGGGGAGAGAACTGGAAATCCCACTTGACATGTGAAATTTTCCAAGTTTTAAGTTTTGGCAACTAGTTGACAAAACATTTAAATCCTATACAGGTGAAAGCAGAGGTCTGTGGACAAGCCCAGGCTTCCTGACTGCAGACTATGAAATGGAGCAGAGGAAACAAAATGCAAATCTTTGGGGTCAGGGAACAGGGATGCAGGAGCAGGTGAGACAGGCTGGAACAGGTTCCTGACTCTGGAAGCAGGAGCCCTTGTCTGATTTGGGGTGCAGAGGCCACCAAGACTTTTCCTGTTTATTGGCATAAAGAGGATTCCCATCCACTGTCCTCTCTCAGGGCACACAAGGCAGGCAGGGCTGGAGGAGGCCCCAAAGTAGAAGTTGCCAGTCCAGCCAAGTGTGTGAGTGCAGAGGGTGCCCTAGACACCAGAGAGAGGAGGAGACTCCACACCAGGCTCTCTGTCAGCCAGGGGACCCTCCAGAGCCCTAAGAGGGATACAGTGCCCAGGACACTGAGCCTGTCTCTGTCCAAGAGTGCTGAGACCTCTGCAGGGTTCCTGCCAGGCCAGCCCTGCCTGTCCCAGCTGTGTGACGTCGCTGTCCCCGTCATCCACTTCTATGAGATAAAAATTCAGTGAAGGAGAGACCCCACATACTGCTGGGCACCCAGGACAGCCTGGCTCAGGGGTGACCTCTTGCTTCCGTTGTCTGTGGCTCAGGCATAAACATCCTGCTAGGGATCACACAGGAGAGTGAGGGAGGCCAGGCCTCGAACCCAGGATCCCATTTGCTCACCTCAGGCATGGCCTGCCCAGCCTGAGGCTTCCGAGCTGTGGTGGGATCCTCTTGAGTGCGTGCCTCCCTGTGCATGCGCCTGTGTGTTTTGTTTTCCCAGAAAACAAACCTAACACAAACAGCCTGAATTTCGACATCTCCTGCCTAGTGGAGCTGTGGACACCAGTAATTCCCCCTGGACAGGAAGGATTTCCGGTTGGACTTAATGCCCATGTCCAGAGGCGGCCAGCTGCTGAGGGGCCCAGGAGAGAGCAGAGTCCATTAGAGAAGGGGCATGGGGGACCCAAGAGGATGGCCCAGTTCTGGGAGGAAGCTGAGGCCCCACAGGAAAGGTGTCTCCTAGGGTCACCCTGGACATGTGGTAGAGCCAGGATTTGAACCTTTCGAGGTCTCCCTTCCCATTGCAGTGTTTCAGAGACAGATCTGGGACTAAGCTCCAGTTAGCAACCCAAACTCAGAATTGCCAAGGTGGGACAAGGAGTGAAGGCCCCAAGGGCTGGGGTGACCTCGAAGAACAAGAAGACCAAGCAGGAAGAGAAGGAGTGGGGGGGGGGGGCAGCTCTAATCTGTGATGGTTATAGGGTCATATAGAGCCCCCTGTGTCGGTCCCTGACATAGAGCAGAAAACCAGACCAATACCCAGGCCAGAGAGGTGGATTTGTAGGGCCCACCCACCACAGCACCAGATCCCAATGGGGGCTCAGTGTCCTCAGGCACTTAGGGAAATCAGGACATCCTGAGGTCTGCAGTGGAGAGCCAGGCTGCTCCCGCCCACAGCACAGCAATGACCACTCTGACCTGAGGTGGGAACCACTGTGGTATGGCGGTTCCTCACACCAGGAGGCTGTGTCTAGATGGCCATCCAGACTTTCTGGCCTCATGCATCCTCCTAACAATCCCACAGGAGCCCAGGGAGGGGATAATATGTCTAGGGCAGATGGAGAAAGTGAGGCTGGGGAAGGAAGCCGCTGACGTCCAAGCCCTACAACCTCTGCTTCACTCTCTGACCTCCACGGTCTGCTGTTTCTGAACCTGACAAGGGGGGCTGAGTGAATGTCTATGAGCCCATTCGGTCTTCCATGAACTGCCACCTGTGGTCCCTTCATCCTCAGGACTAGGCCTGGTGCCTGGCTAAGGCCAGCCCTCCATGGGCTGAGCCGACAGGTCCCACCTGCCCTCAGACTTCCTGACCCTGGCTCCCCAGGGCCTGGAAAACCCAGGGCCAGGCATCCAAAGGATTGCTGTCCTTCAAGCTGTCATCCTCCCGGGGTGTCTGGGAGCAGGGACAAGGGCAGGGAGGGGCCAAAAGGAAGTGGGGTAGTGGCTGAGGGTAGGCTCCCCTCTCAGTCAGGCGTTCTGGCTGTTCCCCAGAGCTCTGGCCTGAGCCAGGAACAGCCTGTCCTCAGCTCAAAGGCCCCTCCAACACCGCCCCCGCCATTGATCCTAAGGCTGGATTCCCAGCAGAGAGGTTAGAAGCACTTCCCTGCCCCCACCCGACCCACTCGCGGGTGCATACACACGTTCGCCTTCTCTGCACTGGTACACACTGACACCATCGCACACGCAAACACACACGTTCACACAGGCACCTCACATGCACGTGCCCACAAGCCCAGCTGCAGCAGGTGGAGTGCCTGGGGCTGCCTCTGAGGCCAGCAAGGCTCTGCTGAGGGTGGGGTCTGCAGCCCAGGCCCCCAGCCTCTACCCCTCCCTTGTCCCCTCTTGGCCAATGCTCACTTTAGGGATGAGGAATCACTAAAGGGAGATGAGCTTCCTGTGAACCTGCCCACCTCCTCCCCCACAGGCCTCTGTCCCTCACCGGAAACGGAGGAGCCAGGTAGGCCAGAGAAGCCAACCAAGCCTCGGCCCAACACAGCGAGCAAAATCCTGTGCTCCTACTTCACACACTGGAAGGAATTCAGGTTCTGTGAGGTGTCATAACGACACTGGGATCCCATAAGAAAAGTCCTTATGGATGACCACAGGACAACACCTGGGCTTTGTTTTCAAACAATCCAGAATGGCAGTCGGGGCGGACAGGGGGTGCTGTTGAAATGAGAC